TGCTAGAGACTACCAAATGGAATAACTAGAATAGCTTGAAATTCATTTGTAAATTTTTTATATTAATTTTTTTAGGGTACAGGAAGATTAGTGCTCTGGTACAGTTCTAAATATTTTTGGGTTATGCAAACCTTTAAGAAATGATGTAGAAGCTTTATCAGAAAGATATTCACATAATACACAAAGTTTTGCATGTGATTTGAGGGGGCTCATGAGCCATGTGAAGCCCATCTATTAAACTCTTTTGGGGCCTGTAAGGCCATCATATTTGAAAGTTGGACTGGGCCCCATATACTTCTGGGTCTGAGCTCTACTGGAAACATGATCTACATTCCCGGGCCATCCTAGCTTATTCAGCTTCAACAGGAGGTGTGGCTTGGGATTTGATCTCTCTGCAGGTCAGTTCCTCACCTTTCAGTGTGATCACCAGTTTTGTTTTCTCAAGCAACAGTTTGACTTTGTATTTATCACATATAATTCTAAGTTTTAAAACAGTTACTTTGTGGTAAGTATACCTGTTCTCAAACTTAGAATTAAGTATGGTAAATATAAAGTGTTCAGACTCAGCACATATGAATTTCTAGATAAATTTCTGAGTATACTATTAAATTCTCACTCCTGGCCACCCTACACCATGTTTACAGAATAAATACAATTTAGGGTATACAAAAACAAAATTCCATTCACGACTCAGCCTCTCACAGCTCCTTGTGCTATCAAAGCCATTTTTTTCTGACTCTATTTGCTAAACCCAGTGGCTTAGAAGTCACCACTAAACTTCTCTATGATATCTGTCATTGTCGACCACAGCCTCCTTTATGAAACTTTCGTCTTTTGATGACTCCCTTGACACTACTCTCTCCTGATTGTCTTGCTGCCCACTCTGGCCACATCTCAGCCTCCTTTCTTGGCCCTGCCTCTTCACCGGGCTCATACCAGGGTGTTTCCTTGGCCTTGTTTCCATTTCTTTCTGTGTTCTCTCCCTCAGCAGGCTTACAACTTAAAAGCAAATGGTGCCTCACTTTTCAGGTGGGAGCTCTAGTTTAGTATTTCCAACTGAAATAATGCCTATCCCATGGATTCCTTAATATTTAACACACCCAATAATGCCCCAAACCTGCTCTCTACTTTCATTCCTTCTCTCAGTTTATGGCAGTATCATCTATCCAGGCACTAGAGTTAGAGTCACATGTTACTCCTCCTCTGTCCATTATCCAGCTTGATCTGTTGCATCAATAGTCAGCAAAATAGCACTCAATAGCAAGAACTCTGTAGCTAGGTTGCCAGGGTTCAAACCCAGGTCTATCACTTACCAGGTGGGCAATCTGGAGCAAGATGCTTAACCTCTCCATCTTGAGTTTACTCTTCTTGCAAATGAGTAAATGGTAGTAGTTACCCCCTAATGTTCTTGTGAGGATTAAATAAATTTGTATTTGTAAAGTGCTTAGAACAGGGCCTGGCACATAGTAAGCATCACATAGGGGCTTGTTAATAAATTGGTCTTAAGTTTGTCCCCATTCTAGACCACCTTTTACACTGCTGACAGAGGCTTTTGAGGAGCTCACAATTATAAAGTGCATAAACCAGGGGTCATTGTGCTAAGTGTTTTATACATGAATCTCATTTAATCCTCAAAACAACCTGTAAGGGGGATATTACAGTCCTCAATTGAGAAGATGAGGAAATTGGGGCTTTAATAACTTAAGTATTTTGTCCAAGGTCAAACAGCTTATAAATGCCAGAGCTTGGATTTTAATTTAGGCCTGTCTGTTCCCAGAGTTAGAGTTCAAAATCAAAAAGCTTTACTATGCTGCTTTCCCAAACCTGAGTTAGTCACTACTTAAACTTCTTAAAAGATCCCATACTGCCTATGCTGTCATGACCTATTCCTTCACAATCTTTTCTAACTTTATTTCCTGCAACTTCCCTCCATGTGACCTGTTCTTTCCTTCCTCATTCCCCTGCCTGTCCTTTGTTTTTTCAACACTCTTTGAAAGTTTGAGTGTCATGCACTATGCTAAATTGAGGAAAACAAGGAAAATGAGCAGTATGTCTTTAAAGAGCTCATTGTGTGATACAAATTTTTATTGACAATCCAGTGAGGGGAGAGCACCAGGGTGTTTCGGGAGCCATACTGGAGAAAGAAGGTAAGAAGGAGAGAGAAGAGGCCAGTTGGGAGCTGAGGTGGGTAGATCCCGTAAGCTCACAGGTTCAAGAACAGGCTGAGCAAGAGCAAGACGCCCTCTCTACTAAAAATAAAAAAATTAACTGGTGGTTAATGTACACCATGTGTGGTGTACAACCAGCTACTCAGAGAGGCCCAGACAAGAGGATCGCTTAAGGCCTAGGAGTTTGAAGTTGCTGTGAGCTATGAGACCACAACACTTTCTACCCAGGGTGACAGAGAAAGACTCTGTCACAAACAAACACACAAACAACAACAACAACAAAGAAAGTGAGAGAGCAGGGAGAGTTTCCTTCAGGAGGGGACACTGAACTGCCTTAAAGGATATCCTGATGAGACACCTTCTTGTCTTTCTTTAACAATTTGGATTTTTTTCTTTTTGCCTTTGAGATGCTTGGGGTGTCTTTTTCCTTATCAGATTGTTAGCTAAGACAGAATTTCAAAATCAGCTTCTCTGAAACCATCCTTTATTTGTGGATCAAATGGATGTTTGCTTTCTTACAAGGGGTAGGGAATCCGTGGCCTTCAGGCTCCATGTGGCCTTCAGAATCCTTGAGTATGGCCTTTTGACTGAATCCAAATTCTACAGAACAAATCCTTTTAATAAAGAGATTTATCCTGTGAAGTTTGGAGTTATGGGAAGAGCTGCACTTGGGGATCTGAGGGCCATGCATGGCCTTGAGGGTGAGGTTTCTTACCGAATACATAGTGGCATGATAGGAATATTGTAATGCTCAATAAAGTTGTGTTAAATGAGAAATTATTTGCCTATTCACAAAGGAAAGTCTAAGGCAGGATGCACTTTTGATTTAGAGTTAATCAGAGAGTAGGTGTGCAGTAAATACTAAATATTGAACAGTTTTATTGGTGAAATATTTGGAAATAATGCTAGGAATAAAGAAATTTGTTATTAAGTTTACTTCTATGGATAAATTAAGATTTTTTTTTCATGTCTTGGGTGGCAGGGCTCTGTATCTGGCATGAGAAAAATGAAGAATTATTCGTTTGAGAGCTCATTTTGAGGGTTTTCTTTCTGTCCTGGGTTGGGCCATGGTTCCAGAATTCTGTGCACAATTAAGGCATAGAGGTATGTGCTGTGCCATGGTCCATGAGGGTTCCTCCAAAGAGTCTACCATTCTAGTTCATGTCTGGCAAAGGCCCAGGAATATCTCTTACAGCCGACCCAGGTTCTGTCTTCTAGGCACAACATGCAACCATTTCCTTTTTGTGGTTGTGCTTCCTTCTGGGTAGTGTAGATCTTTCTTTGCCTGCCTCTTTCTCCTGGCAATGTTACTCCAGTAGAGGAGAATCTTTATGGTGGGCATAGGGGTATGGGTCTGAGATGAGAGGAGTCTTCACTCTTATTTTTTGACCCTGAGTACCCTTCCATCAGAGGTTGAGGCTTTTGTACAACAAAAGCCAGAAAGACTCATAGCCTGTGTCTATTTTCCTGAACCCCTACTGGCATGGATTAAGGAGAATGGAAAGGGGAAAAGTACATAGAGAAAAGAAAAAGATAACAGCAGAGATTGATATCTCAGAACACTGCCTCAGGCATAGTTGTCCCCTAGTAAATCTTTGGGTCTCATCCAAATTGCAAAAATTAGGTTCTGCGCAGGTAGTACAGTGGTTACCCTCGAGGCTGGAGGGTTCGAACCCTGCTCGGGTCAGCTAAACAACAATGACAACTGCAACAACAAAAAAATAGCCAGGCTTTGTGGAGGGCACCTATAGTCCCAGCTACTTGGGAGGCAGAGGCAAGAGAATTGCTTAAGTTCAAGAGTTTGAGGTTGCTGTGAGCTGTGATGCATCGGGACTCTACTGAGGGTTACATAGTGAGACTCTGTCTCACCCCTTCACCCCTCAAAACCCCAAAACAAACAAACAAAACCACCAAATTGTCAGAGTTAACGGACAAAGTACAAGTAAGGGGTTTAGAGAAGTGCTTGGTATAGGGCAGTGAGTATTCAATAAATGTTAACTATTATTTTTATCCAGAGCCTCTCTACCCAAGGTGGGACCTGGGTTTTGGTTTAAATCAGTCCTTCAGGACAGTCACTCACACTTAATGCAGTGAAGAGCTATGTGGGTGATCGCTTCCCCGTTTTCCCCAGGGACAGTTCAGCCTGGATGCTGGGCTCATTTCTGGTTTCACTGGTAGTGGGCTTGCTGTACTTCTTGGGGATTCTCTTTCCTCCCAACAGTGGCTTCCCTCCTAACCTTTATCCTCAACCCCCAGGAAGCTCAATCACAAGTACAGCTGGTACCCCCCCGCTGCTGGTTTGGGTCCTGGTGTAGTTAATTGGCCTTTCTGGTAGTCCTGGGACAGGACATTTGAATTGAAATTTAGAAGCAGTGTGCACTTTCTGCCAATGATATCTTTAATTAAATTCGATAAGCACTTACTGAACACCTAGAGCATGTAAAATACTGTTCCTTTAAATACATTTGGACCTTAACTATCTGTTTTAGCTACTCAATTTGAATTAGTGCTGATTCATCTTTAAAGATTTTATGAAGAATAAATATTAAAATGGAAAAATATTTGCACAGTTGTCAATATGAGCGTCTTGTGTGGATTATTGTTGCCACAGTATTAATATTAATTGCAATAACAACACTGCTACTTCCCAGGCAGGCGGTAGAGAGCAGCTGTAGGCCAACAAGAGCCAGACTGAAGGGGTCAGAGGAGGTGCCTCTAGCACGTCCAGCCCAGAAAGGGCGGAGTCTTGTGGAATATAACCAACCCCGCCCCTTATCCCACCCCCTCCGCCGGGGCGGTGTAGGCGGTTACCATGGCGATGACGTCTAGAGGGCGGGGCAGGGCGGGGCTATGGAGAGGAGGAGGAAGATGGCGGGCGGGCGGCTCTGAGGGGATCTCGGCGGCGGCGGAGGAGGAGAGAAGCGCAGCGCCGCGACGCGCCTGGGCCCATGTGGGGAGGAGTCGGAGTCGCTGTTGCCGCCGCCGCCGCTGCCTGTAGCTGCTGGACCCGAGTGGGAGTGAGAGGGAAGCGGCAGGATGAAGTTCGCCGAGCACCTATCCGCGCACATCACTCCCGAGTGGAGGAAGCAATACATCCAGTATGAGGTACCGGCGGCGGTCGGGGTGTGGGAGGACTCGGAGGGGCCACCGTCTCGGCAGTGCGACCTCCACCGCCGCCTTCCGCTCGTGCTGCCGCTCCGCGCCAGGGCAGACTTTGACCCGCTGCCGCGGGGAGCCACTGCGGCATCCCCGCCGCGGCCAGCGCGGTCCTGGCCGGCTGTCCTTCCCCTCCCCCGCAGCCCCGCTGCCGCCGGGGTAACGGATATGCGGCCGGCGGGCCCGGAGGAAGGGCATTGCCCGGGCCGGGGCTGGGGAGTGGTGGTAGGAGGCGAGCCGCAGGTGGGGGAGTCGCGCGTGCGAGCGCAGCCCCCGGTGGCGGCGGTTCCGTGCTAATCTCCTCCTCCCCGCTTACCCTGACCTCTTGTCCCCATCCTGGGCGAGCCCCTCCTCGCCAAGGTTAGTTAGGTCTTGCTTCCCTCTGCTCACCTCTCACCAAGGAATCCTTCCTTTTCTGAGATGAGCCCATGCAATGCTTTCCTTCATTCCGTTGAGCTCTTCGGCTTTGCCCCACTTGCCCTCTGTTGACAAAGGCTTTGTAACAGGGTTGAAACTTGACTTAAGTGGACATCACATATGCAGTGGTTATAGTCGGCAAATATAATCAACTATTCTGTTTTAATAATAAGATGGTGATTGCATAAAGTATACAGAGTAATCCCATCTTTGATTTTGGCTCTCCTGTAGTTTTGGAATGAAAGGAAGAGAAAGGAGGGAAGAGAATTACTTAAATTTTCAGGTTTTCCTATAAGTTTTGTTAGCTAGGGAGAGAATTGCTATATTGTAAACAATATACATTACCCCTTTCCCTCCGGATCTGTGATAACAGCTCCTGGAAGATATTTAATAGATAGTAATAATAATAAGGAACCTTACATTAATGCAGGAAAAAGTAAAGGTAATGAACCCACTTTTGTATTTAGAAGGCAAGATATTTAGAAGGACTTTAAGCAGAGCACTAGGTTATTCTCAGTAGCTAGCAATTCAGCTCCTGGATAGAGAAAGACTTACCGGTAACCTCCAGGAATTCATGTCTATGTTATATGCAGGAACAAAGAATACAAAATCAATATGTACACACATATGCTAGCTAGATTTTATGAATTAAACTATTTTAAATTCTCTATTTAATTTTCATGTAAGTTTAGAGATAGATTTAGGCAATAGCAGGGAGTTTATTTGTTCATATAGCTAGAGAAATACTTGAAGAAGACAGGGAAAGGAATGTTGGTAGGTTAAGCACAATCTTGAAGATTGTGAAATAAATTCACTTGCAGCAATACAGTATTTGATCATTGCCAGAAATGAAAGGCCTAGAGTTATGAATGCTTTCTTGTTACTTAATTTTCTGATAGTGTTTTGTGGCCACATTTTGTAAGTAACAGTGAAACAAGGGACTAACATTTCAGCCTGTAGAGTTTTTGATTTATTGCTTTTAATAACATTTGGTTAGTTTTTAAACCTTGGCTAGCATCCAAATAATGGTTTTTATTGAAAGAAGGGTATTGGTCTTTCTTCTTTCTAGTAGTAATTTTCAGCACCACTGCCAGTTCTTTATAGAGGCATAGGACATGAGCATGCTGAAGCATATCTTATACTTGTTATATAGTGTGGAATGTTTTATTTAGGCAGACATAATAATGGCTGAATGTACACTGTGATTCATGTTAAGTATTTCAACACTTAAGTATTTCATAAAATTGTATTAACTTGGAATATCTGGGGCTGGAAAGGGAGGTGTAAGATTTAGTTTGAAAATGCCGTTCCCTCCTGATTTGTAATTTCAGCTTTGTGGCTGGAGTAACCACAGTGATTCTGGGTCTTTTCATTCACATAGTCTGTTTGGATACAGTTTCTAAATGTTTACTCTGGGTTGGTCACAGAGGTATAAAATTATTAAATGTATTCATGACTGCATTATCTTTCTCAGGTCAGTTATAAATTATGTTTTAAAAAATTCATTTTTTGGGCTGAGCATGCTGTCTCATTCCTATAATCCCAGTTCTTTGGGAGGCCAAGGCAAGAGGAATGCCTGAGGCCAGTTTGAGATCAGCCTGGGCAACATATAGGAATGAGACCCTGTCTCTGTAATGAAATAAAAACAAAATAGTCTGAGGTGGTGGTCCTAGCTATTGGGGAAGTTGAGGTGGGAGGATTGCTTGAGGCTGGAAGTTGGAGGTTGCAGTGAGCTATGATTACGCCACATTGCATTCTAGCCTGTGACAGAGCAAGACCCTGTCTCTGAAAAAGAAAAAGAAAAAAAATTCATGTATATGGCTATTTGAAATGGATTCTACAGAGAGTTACTACTATGTAACCCCTGTCCTGGGTAAACTCATTGTTTGGTAGGCAAAGTTAAATAAGGAGCAGGTTTCTTTGTGAGTTAGAGCCATTTAAGAAATTTTTATAGATTTGGAATACTGTATAGTATATTGTTTCTGAAGAGCTGGTGCTATTCCTTTAAAAATTATAATGAGGTATAAATAAGTGTCTTTAGAGTCTAGGGCCTTTAGCAGCTTAAAAACTTTGGGGAAAAAGGACATACATAAAAATGTTAGTTTTACTACAGAAAAAGACTGTAATGCAGTAATATGTACTTTCTCATGTGAAGATGATGCTCTTAAAACACTCTCAGTAAAACAGATGCTTGATTTATTTCTCAAGTGTTGATGGTGAAATTTTGGTGTATTATTCTTGATTTCTAGCCAAGAGTGCTTTCTAATGCTGTGAACCAAAATGAACTGTCTAGCTTCTTGGTTTTTATGTTGTTTTGCTATATTAAATATTACTTGAAATAAGTAGATTAGATAGAAGCTGAAAGTTTTGTTTTTCATCCATAATTAGATGTAGCATTTAATCATATGCATTATTATGTATACATGGTAACACAATACATGCTAGTTTTTGTGTATATTAGCCATTAGACCCAAGGGACAATCTTTTTGCCTTTTCAAGTCTCTTTTTTCTTCTTGCTTTTTTCTTTTTGGCCAGGGCCAGGTTTGAACCAGCCACCTCTGGCATATGGGGCCAGCACCCTACTCCTTTGAGCTACAGGCGCTGCCCTGGGCGCTTTTCTTCTTTTATAAAATAAGAATATAGGGCCAGAGGTTTTCAAGGTCCATTCTAGTTCATAATTTTTGATTTAACCATTTAATTTGCCTTTACTCCTTGGGTTGTTAAAATTATTAATGATAATAAGCTATCACTACTACACAGAAAATTATTATAATTTTTAATTAAAAAGTAAGTTGTGGAGTTCATAAATTCAGTCTTCACAGGCAGGGTAATAAAGCACATAAGCATAAAAGCATAGAACATGGAGAAATCGTGTAAAGAAAATCTGTTCATTTGTGAGTAGTGTTTTCAAAGAATAAACACAAATGAGCAGAGACTATCCCTGTTTGCAGTTCATATATTTGAGTATAAATCATGGCATGTAAAATAGAATATCAATGAATCTTTATAAGAGGGCTATTTTGATTTAGATTTAGAATCAGTGATTGTATATTTTCAGTTCTGTAATTGATTAATCAAAATTAACTTAGACCAGTTTTAACCAAATAGACTAGTACGATCACATTAATATTTTACAGAATAGTAGCAAAGGAAGTGAATATATTTATTACCTCTGGCAGCTGACTTGTGTTTTCTTCCCTAGGGTTCTGTGTTTCTTTGGTTTTTTCAGGAACCATGAATAATTTTTTTCAGTGTGTTCTTTAATTTTGTAAGATACTAAAATAATTAGGTCCCTAAATTACAGCATTTTAGAACTGAAAGAGAATTTAAAGATTACCTCCTTGTTTTTCTAGGAGAGGAAACAAAGGTCTAGAGAGAGTTTAAGCCGTTTGTTTAGGAAGATGTGTGTGTGTGTGTGTGTGTGTGTCTGTCTGTCTGTCTGTCTATCTGTCTTGAGCCCTGGATGTGTAGGCATTGGGAGTCAGGTCACATTGTATGATCTTGATAAAATCACTTCCTCTTTTTTGGTGTTTAAATTCTTTGTCTATAATGTGAGAGAATTAGACTTGATGGTTTCTAAGTTTACAGTCCCATATTATTTAAGAACCCATCTAGCTCTAAAATTCTGGGCATTTTTATGGCTTGTGTTTGATATATGAAGAGGGTAGAACTTAAAGGACTGTTATTAATAGCATCCTTTTAAATTAATATCCTTTCACAAATTATTGATGGGATTTTGACTTGTGAATAGAAAACTAACCCAGTGAAACTCTCTTATTTATTTTAAATAAAAAGGGATGATCACGAATTAATTTTTTTTTTGCAGGATTTGGGAAAGGCAGAGCTTCTGTATCAATTGCACTTCCCCTTATTTTCAAGTATAAGAAAACATTGCCATAACATTATTATAATTTTCATTTATAGGACTCTCCCATGAGAACACTTGTGTTGTAGGCTTCAATTTCTCAAAGGTATTACGTTGATTAGTTAGGGTTAACTTGCCTTGTTAGAACTTGTTTGAAATTTCCAGTTTGGCCACCCGATGGGGCACAAACCACACTTTTTCTTTCAGATACTTCTGCAAATGCAAGTACCATGTATCTGTAAGAGAACACCTGTAAATAATTGTGAGTAAGCTGCCTGGCATTTACAAATGTTTCTTAAGTGAGTGAATGAATGTTGTAAAGACAGGAAGCTATAACTTTTCTTCATTATCTTTGAGTATGTTAGAGTGAGTATCCTGGAAAGATTATACTTGTCTGTTCATCCCTAAAGGTTGGTTTTGGATCAGCTTTTGGGTGAAAGCCCAGATCATAAGAGCCTAAGAATCTTATTTGACCTGGGGTGACCATGGAAAATTAGTCCTGGCTTTAAATTGAGTCCTAATCTGGGAAGCATCTGAGAGACAGCTGTGCTGGCTGGGGATTTCAGGTATAGGTATTTGAGTTGTAGGCCCCAAATGAGGATGTCTGAAACTCCCTGATAGTAAGACAAGATAGCATCAGAACTGTTATTTTTGTTTATTTTTATGT